ATTTTGTAAGATATATAAATATATATAGAATGCTGCTTTATTTATTGCAAAATTTTTAATTCGACTTCTGATGAGATATCAAGTATCTATCTGCAAATAGTTCTAGGCAGAGAATGAAATAGTTTCATTCTCAATTTTCTTCTTAAAAACTTAATACCTATAAAAGACAATACTAATTATATTTACAATAAGATAAGAGATAATAATAAAGACATAATAATCTTATATGTAATGTATTTGGTGATCAGATACAGCTTTCTGAACTGCAAAAGTATATATTGTACATAAATTACACATATAAGAGTAATGTTATTCTTCTTCGATAATATTTATGTTGAAAATATTAACAGTAAAATATTAATATGCAGTAAATATATTATTATTTGAGTTAAGTAGAAACTTGTTATATAGAATTAGTCAGATCTAAGAGAAGTACGAGTACCCGAAATAATAATGTGAATAAGTACAATTTTAAAATAGATCTTTCTTGCAAAGTTGTGTAAAGTTAGCCTTCCAAAAGAGTGAAAACTTAAAATTATTTAATATCATTTGATTAACTATAGTTTAAATAAAAATAATTATCAAAACAATTGATTCACACCTTTAGGTTCAAAAGTTATTCTTAAAAATTGATTGATTGAAAATCCCATTTTATGGTTGCCCACAAAATCTAAAATTGGTTACTTTGATTACTGCATTCGACTGACCGCAAATGACTACCAAAAGCTTCGATCAAGCAAACTCGGTACAAAAGTTATTTCAAAAAATGAGTCTTGGAAGCATACTTCATGGTTGAAGATAAGGTAGAAAAGTACATTAGAGAGGAAGGTACACATTGATAACAATGTTATGGACAACAATTACTTTTAAAAAGGACACTAAAACCAAGAATAATTCATAGGCTATCAACATCACGGCCGCCAAAAATGTGGAGGAGGAAAAAAGAGCGAGTTTGAGTTTTTATTGTGGGTATATTACATAGTAAATAAAAGTTAATTGTTAATATACTGTTATCAATATATAAAAAATTTAAATTTTAACACTAAATGAGGTTGATATCCCAATAGAAACTCATAATTTTAAATGGGATAGGTGTTTAAATTTATTCACAAATAACTTCTGGATTAATCGCGAAAACAGTGATGTCCTACGATACCATGGCCTATGGTAGGTAGAGTAAACATTAGTACAGTGATTCCGAGACAATGTATTTTGTGACAATGTTTCAACGGCAACTTCAGAAATAAACGTTACAGATGATGCTACGATGAAGAAGAGTAGGAAATTGTTGATCACTTTTTATAGCAATTTAGACAAATATATTGTAAAGTCAATTACGATCAAGGCACTAATTTCGAAACAGAAATTATATATGCAA